CGGGGTGCGCCGAGGCCGCCGGACGGGGCGCAGCCCAGCGCTGGGCTCTTGCTGCCTTCTCCCACCTTCTGTGTTTTTTCTGACAGTGCAGCTCCCTCTAGATTTCTTTTCTGTGCACCACAATTTCTGTTGCCTTTTAACTGTTCTGACTGTGAGCGTAACGCACAAACCCTACGGAAGTCAGCTTACATAGCTTAATTCCTCCTTCAGAACGGTGGAAGTGAGACGCTTCGGTGCAGCTGTAGTGCCGCATCAAAAAGGTTTCTGCAGGTGGCATCCCATAGTTTCTTCAGGTGGTTCATTTCAGTGGTTCAACTATTAATGGCTCACACCTCCCACCCATCAAAAAAAATCATATTCACTTAAGTTCTGTAAGAAAGCTTTTATAAAAATAGAATTTACACTGAGCATTTCTACTGCTGCAAAACCATATCATTCTGTTCATAAAACTTGCTCAACTTTAATATTAAAAACATACTTTAATAAAGTCTGATACAATTATTGAAATGATTTACTTGCTGAACCTCAGACTGGTTATCCTGAGAATATTTAATATTACAAGTATAAGCTGTGAGAAGGAAATTAGTGTTGATGAGGTTTCCATCCTTCAGAGAAGAAAGTCATAAGTATGGCATAGAGAAAATATCCAAACAGGATAATGAAAGTGCAACCTACGGGCCCGATGCAAAACCAGGATGCAATGAAGTAGATCATTAGCAAGGAAATGAGAGTCCTGTAGCTAGCCAGAAACCTCAGACTGATTCTTGGTCCCCAGTTATAGCTTGTCCTGTCCTTCAGCATAGGAACATACTTTGTTTTCTGCGCAGGGTGTGGGTTGGCAAGGTGGTAGCGGCAAAGCCGGCCAATAAAATCCTCCCTGGAGCAGAGTACTTCCATCTGATCAGCAAACTGAGGTAAGAAAAGTTTAAACATTATGCTGTAACTGATGTTCTAAAATAACTGTAACTTATAATTTTTTGTGATTTATGGAATGAAGATAAGGTAGAGGAGGATTACAGTAGATACAAAATCAAAATATATTTTTAAACAGTAGAACTGCTTCAGTGCAGGCTTTCACCATATCTAGCATCTACAGGAAGAACACAATTCATCAAACATAAATAATACATTTAAAGTGTTCTTGATCAACATTTTCTTTTACTTATAAAAGCAGGGTAGGAAAAACAGAACTACAGATAGAGAAGCAGGCCTAATGCTACTAGGAAATATTTACCCACTCATCTAGACCACAATAAAGGACATAGTGCAAGAACAAATCAAGTGTCATATAGGTGCAGGTGCAGTGAAGAACAGGTTATACGCAGTGGAAAGTACAAAAGGAGACAATGTTTTACTTACCCTTTGGTTAAGTGCTGAGGATAAACGGAATAGGAGGCGAACAAGAGTGGCATTTTCATAGCTTCGGATGGGCTGTAGCTCAGTATCTCCTTGATACTGCACCTCAAATCTGCGTAAGCCGTTTATGATCTAGGAATAGGAAAACAAATTCCTCATCTTGTAGCTCTCACCTCTTAAACTGGCACGTCTTAGGCCCAGAAAGACTTCATTTCTCTTGACGTAGAAGGACAAAACTTGCTTTCTCAAAAACAGTCTAGGGTAGCAATATGGAAATTTTCTTCTCTTACCTGGTATCTGCCAAGGGGTGTAAGAATGAGGCCATCCTCACTTTCAATGCAGTCTGGAAGCTGTTTCTTTCCATTCTCATCCTGAGCTGTCCCACACTTCAACATCATCTGGGTCAGTTGGGCTTCGTTCAGCTGCTCAAGAACAACAGTTCTAAGCCATGTGTTTGACCTGCCCCCTTCTATTCCATCTGTTCTCATTTCACAAACTCCTCAGCAGTGTAAGCCTTTGACAACCACTAGCATGGGTACCGAGAACTGCTCAATAGCAGTTTGATTAGAAATCAGGAGATGAAAATCACCAGATTTCTTGTCTGTGTTCATCAAATCCCAAAGAGGAGTTTTGTTCTACGTTCCTTAACTGCTAGAGAGCTGTAGAACGGTTTCTTTTAGGCCAATTCTGTAAGTATGAGCGCGTCTGGGAAAGAAATCAATCTGCTTATTTTAATTACAGAAACAGCCAACTTGCAGTTCCTCCATTCATCCACATCTGCAGTTATATATTATATTTTTATAGTTTTTTTCCTTTAGAAGATGCTGAGCTGCTTTTAAAATGTAAGCCCATGCGTTGCATGTTTGCAAGCATGAGCATAGGCACAAGTTGAGACCCAGGTTTGTTCTAAACTATATAGCCCAAAAGAACAGTCACTTAAAACAGCCTGGGCTTGATATTTAGAAATCCGTAGCATCTAGTTCCATCTGTATCAAAAGGGGTTTTCAAGTGTTTGGGAGAAGTCAAGCTTAACTGATTTTTAAGCCCAACTTTGTTGTACTTTATGGGATCCTGTTAGCAGAGTGCTATGAGTACATTCGAGGAATCCTGACTCTTGTTCATGCTGCCTCATAAGAAGAGTTATATGAAAGGTGTTACATACCTTAAAGATTTGACACAAATATTCCAGTGCCTTCTCTAAATATTCATCTGTTTTTTTGATGCTGTCTTGCCCAATTTCATCAAGGTCATTGCCTGTATAGGAACCATTCATATCAGATGGTGTAAATCTAAACCATGAAAAGAAGGACTGGCTAGCCAGTGTCTCTGCAGAATGGTCTGATATGGATTTTGCTGTCTGCTGGGCCTGACAAATCAACTGAGCCAGTTTTAACACCTTAAAAAAAAAAAAAAAAGAGAGAGTAATTTAAGTCTAGGACATAAAGGACCACTAAGCATCAATATACAGATGAAATTCTGCCTTGATACCTGGCAGTGAGAGCAAACACAGCAAATTCACTCCCTTAGTAAACACAGACTTCCACTGGGACAGTTAGTTGCATTTCCAGTAGGGCAGAGGTAGTTCTCTGATGCTGAAACACTTAAAGCAAGCCAAGCGCTTCTTAGCTTTTTCAGCTACTTTTTCTCCTGCTATTTTTACCTCGCTGGCTGCTGCGTAGCCAAATCAGAAGTGCAAAATAAAAAACATGTTTGAGGAAAAAATGCTCCCAATAGACTGCTGTTAAGGGAGCAAGCCCTCACATTCACCTCTTATTTAGGAAAGAGCAAGTCGATTTTTATGGCTGTGCTAGATTGAGATGCCTCAGGTTCCAAGTCACTGTCAACAAGCTTTTGAATATACAGTAGTCAGGAACAGAAAACTTTCCCCCCATATTTCTAATGATATGGATGCTCAGAATTGAGAAACACCTGTCAGAATAGAAAGGCTTATGCCAAGAAACCTGTTGTTTCTTACCAAATTCCTGACTTCTGTGCCAAACATTTGTTTATACTGGAAGTCCTGCCCTTCCAGGCTGTAAACATGACTCTTCACCTTAAATGAGGCATCTGTAATAGTTGGAGGCCATGACGAGAAGAAGCTCCCACCGAGCGTGGGTGTCATAAAAAGTCGGTGTTGACGATGGGGAATAACAAGTTCTGGCTCCAGGAATAACTGTTCTCCTAGAGTTTGAGAAAAGTAGCGGAGATGATTACATAATATTTCTGTATTGGCTAGGGGATAGGGGTGTCCTGGCTAAAAAGCATCTTACGGCTGCTGGGCAACTGCTTTTACGTAAGTGATGGCTCTAGGGGAGAGAAGCCTTAATTATCTGTTTTTAATTTAATGCTGACCTTACAGAGCAAAAATATTTTGCTAGGATCAGAATGCATTTAAATGCAGACCATGCAGATAGCGTTTTTAGCCCATAACTGGTTTTCAAGGAGGGCACCGCACTCTCATGACACTTAAGACTTCATCCCCAAACTTACTGTACCCTAATTATCCAGAAGTGCATACGTGACTGGCTGACTAGCTATTTTGCTAAGCATAGACATCTTTAGAGATTTAAGAAGTTTTAATTAATAACCAAGTATAACTAAATATAAGCTAAATAACCAAGTAAGACAAATATAAGAAGTCTAACTTTATTGTAAATACCCAGCATACTTTAAAGAAAAAAGTGTGGAATGAAATATAAATGGTGATGATGATGATAAAAGAATTGTAGACATATTAAACTGATACTACAAACAGAAGCAAAGACACCCAGGCCTTTGAATGGCAGGATAGCACGTAAAATTGGGGGGGGGGGGGGGGTTTTTTTTACTATTTTTTTATTACCATTGAGAAGAAAGCAAAAGACAAGACAGTGTAAAATGTGAAAGTATCCATTTACCTTTCAGAATCATTTCAGCTAGGTTGGGCTGAGCGAAGACTTTGGCTACTCGGAACACCATGAGAGCATTTTTTGGACTGACCAAATCTGTTCGAAGAGCTCGGTTCAGAAATCCTACAAATAGCTTGGTATACATAAGCAGGTTTTCTTGAATGAAGGCAGCCCTGTCAAAGTGAGTACAGCTATTTAGTTATATTGCT